AAATATATTAGTCTAAAATTTGTATATTTCACACTAAAAGAATATACATACAAAAAGTTAATTAACCGAATATTCATTTGAATCATGAACACCCTCTTCTATCTAACACCATATAATAATTGTTAGAATTTACAGCTCATAAAATACGTTTGGTTGTTAAAAATATAAATCCCCAACCGTAAACATTTGAACTCAATCCGATCTATTTTACAATAACATATTGAGTTTAAACCGTTTTTTAGAATCCATACACCACACTTTACAAGATACCTTTTATTGTTAAAAAAAATATATATATATCTACAAACCTTTGAATAAATTAATCAACCGTACACATTTGAACTCAATTGCTAATTTAAATCTATACTAATATTTCAATAATTCCTAGAATCCATAATATTCAAAATTCTAATGGTTGTTTACAAGTAATATATCTATAAGATATATAACTAATCGTAATATAATCAAATGACCCATCGAAATGGTTAGGAATATAATCAAATGAAAATCTAATTCAGATAATTACAAAAATAAAACAAATCATCATGTAACAATGATATATTGAGCCAAATATTATTCAGAAATTGGAAAATTCTTATACTCCACAATTTACAAAATATTATGTTGTTAAAATTATAAATGTACAAACCAAGTAATTAACCAAACAACAGATACTATATATATATATATATATATATATATATATATATTTGGCTTAATATCAAATTGTATATTATAAGCACAAATATTTTGTTAAAATGGTATTACATTAAAACTTATATAATTTCCAATCGAATAATGATTTTTAATACGCTTTTATATTTCATTTGGATATATTATTGGAAACCATAAACATTTGAAATCAGTTTCTAATTTAAATCTATAACAATATTTTAATGATTCTTAGGATCCATACTATCCAAAATTCTACGGTCGTTACAAATATATATCTATAAAATCTATATCTCTATATCTATAGTAATAAAAAAGAGTTGTTGGAAAAAAAAATAGTAACTTTGACTTAAAAGAATTATTGTTGACTTACTAATGTAAGCAATAACAATGGGCCCCACATGTCAACCAATTTGATCGGATTTTGGTAACATATTTGATCGGTAGATAGCAAATCCCGGATTTTGGTAACAAATTTAATCATAATTTGATAAAAAATCTCAAATTTTGTTAACAGATTTGATTTTATTGTGATAACAAATTTCGAATTTTGATAACAAATCTTTTGAAATATCGGTTTTTTGGTAACACACTTCATAATTATTTACAAACAATATATTGCCGATAATCATTGGAATTTCTTCTGGTAACAAATTTCACAATTTTTTTGGATTGTTAGGAGTTAAATATTGCAGAAAAATCTCGACATTTGATAAACAACACATATCAAAATAAAAATATTATATTTCAATTAATCCGAAAAGCCTTAACAAGTTAAATTGTAACAAACTCTATTAATTTTAGTAAACATTATGTCATATTGATGTGACACATAATCTTCAAAATAAAAAAATTAATTGTTGACTTACTAATATAAGCATTATCAGTAGGCCTCACATGTCAACTAATATAATCAGATTTTGGTAACAAATTTGATTGAATTATGATAACAAGTCTCGAATATTGGTAACAAATTTGATCTGATTTTAATAACAAATATCGGATTTGATAACAAATCTTTTAAAATAGCGGTTTTTTGGTAACACACTTCATAGTTATTTACACACAATATATTCTATATAATCTTTGAGATTTATTTTGGTAACAAATTTCACATATTTTTTTCGGATTATTTAGAGTTAAATATTGCAGAAAAAATTTCGAGATTTGATAAATGTACATATCAAAATAAAAATATTATTTTTCAATCAATCCAAAAAGTCTTACCAAATTAAATTGTAACAAATTCCATTAATTTTGGTAAGCATTATGTCACATTGACATGACACATAATCTTCAAAATAAAAAATTAATTGTTAACTTACTAATAACATGGTCTTTCCTTTAGTAAGTACTTTGAATTTTAACTTAAATTTGTTTTTTAAAAGGGACGGAGATATTAAAATCCCGTGCATCGCACGGGTACTGTACTAGTATTTAATAAGACCAATCTTGCCCTTTTTTTTCCCGTTTTCAAATTGACTATCTATCTCACTAGCAATTTTTCCATTTTCATATTGACTATCTCAGAGCATTTTTTTATTTTTTTATTTTTTAATTTTTTTTAACACTAGCTATCTCACTAACACGTGACAAACTAGAGTTTTAACAAATTAGGTCTAAACATAAATATTAAACTAAAATATATTTCATGTACAAAAATTAAGATGATACATATAATCAAACATACTTATAGAACCAAAACAATATATAAACACAAACAATATATATATGTTGTTCCTTAACATAACTGAAAGCAACAGAATAAAAAGGAGAAAACTTTAATTATTATTCAGAAACAGCTTTGACAGACAGAGGTAAGGTTCTCCAAAGAAGAAAGAAGCAACAAACTGCCAAAAATGAAGACAACCAAATCAAATCAAAGCAAACCAAACCATACCAAACATACATATATTATATAGCGGTGTATTCTTTCACTAGTACTAATTTCTTTTTTTCACATTGAACTACAAATCCAAAGTAGATTAACACATAAGCAAAATCCACGTCAAGGTTCCACCTTCAAGGACACAACTCGAGACTGCCGGTTGTGCTTCGCAGCATTTATGAAAAGACAAGGTGGGGCCCACCAGGGTCGTCGTACTTTTTGCTCCCCTTTCAAACAAGCCACTAACCACATCAATCAAAATTAGTCTTACTGGCAATTGCATTTTTGGCGAGAACGACATAAAAAGGAGGATCAAGAATGAAGTCGAGGAAAAGGTAAAGAAAATATGCATATCGAATCGTCCTTCTCGATAACATCTAAATTGTATAAGTTGGAGCAAGCAGAAGCAGTGAAATAGATCCAGTCAGATGCAATGTGTTTTTCCAGTTGGCCCCTTTATATATCCAATAACAATACAAGAAGGTTTATTTAATCATTAATCAAACATAAAGGTTGAATTGTAAAGTTGAACCCAATCCTAAACAAAGCATATCCCACAAAATTATCACATTCTATAAGCAAAGAAGTAAGGCATGCATGTGAAACCGCAAGTCTCCCTTAACACGCCAGTGTAGGTAAAATCGTGCATAAAAACACCAATCAAGAAGAAAAGTAAAGTTAATAGCAACGCAGCTTCCCATTATCAAGAAAACAAAAATCTCACTCCCATTGCAAGAATGTCCACTAGGAAAACAATTTCTCATAACTTCATAAACAATGGTCATGCATGACATGAAGAGAAGTTCAAGATTTTAACTTGGAATGCCACAAAAATTTGAAAAGACCATTAACTTGCAAACAAAACAACGTATTGCAGCTTATAGGCTCATAACACATTTCCACATCGAGCTAGCTCTTCAAGAGAGAGAGAGAGAGAGCAGACCTTTTATTCGCCTAAGCTCCTTGCACAAGGTAATAAAATCTCCCCACTTCATGTGGCACTTCCTTATAAACCGCAAGATCTGCTCGGTCGTGAACATCGACATCCCTTCCAAATACTCTCCATTGACCCCATTTTCCTTGAAAATCTGGCGATATCCACCGAGATTTATCTCTTCCAACCACATGCCAACATCCTATCAACAAAAGGAGGAAAAAAAAAAAAGATAAAAAATTTCAATTAAAAAACACTTCCTAATTGAATTTCTTAACTACAATTTTTTTCCGCAAGTTTGTTTGAGAAGAAACACAAAGGCTACCCTTCTTCCATCATTTTCCTCAGCCCAGCAGCTAGTTGAACAGTATTATGTTTAATCTAGCTTTCTTTTCTTATAAAAAAAAAAAAAAAAATTATGGAAATCTTAAGAGAAAATGATACCCATTGGCCAAGTTCCTGAAGATTTCAGTTTGAAAGATGCACAAATATTAGAGCATAGGAAATGAAAAAGACGAAGAAAAACAAGGAATCCTCGTCTGTAATTGAGACTGGCCAAAGCAAGAATGAAAACTGGAGAAAAAGGGCTGGCAAACAGTCCACAATGAATGCGGATCAAAATTCTCATTCATTGGACTAATTAACCACACCCAAACCCAAATTTCTACAGAAACAAATTACATCAACAGAGTACAAGACCTGTTAACAGAAAACACTTAAGATGAAAAAAAAAAAAA